TATATATATATGCTCATCTGCCTCTCTCTCTCTCTCTCTCTCTCTGCTGCAGCATCTCGTTTCTCTCTCTGTGTGCCACGTGAGTCTGGATCCAGTACACAGGCGTCTGCAGAAATCAGTCACATGGCAGCAGGTGGAAACTTACGAACACACACACTCATGCATACTCGCTCGCTCAGAAAAGTGCTGCTGATTACAGGCCTTATTAAAGCTACATTAGTCTCAGGACAATGATGAAGTGAGATGTGGACAAAAATAATGAATTCTCTTTTTATCTGAATGTGTGTATGTGCACTCGCTGCGGTTATTTCAGCATCTTAAGAGCGAAAAATAGACTTGAGCTCAAACTGAGCTGAATATACTTTAGCATTTAAGGCAAGAGATTTTTTCATACACTGCTCACATTTGGTCCATTTCACTTCTACATCATGTTTCTTTCAGACTAATGGAAATAAACATCCAAAATACACATTTAAGTGTTCTTTTTTTGCATTAGAGATTTCAATTGCAATCCATATCTTTAAAAGAGTTTTCCTCCACTTCAGCAGCACTTACATACACCAAACTTGCAGTTTTATTCCTATCTGTATTCTGAAGGTTTTTACTGAGGGTTTTTTGATATATCATTCGCATGGTTTTATTTTTGCACTTTATTTGATTCTGTGGATTTCAATTACAATACATATCTTTAAAGGCCGTTTTCTCAAAATGAGTTTGTTTCTCCACTTCAGCACTTACATACACCAAACTTGCAGTTTTATATACATATTAATCTGTATATATGAAAACATTAGCAACCTCCTGGCAACCGCATAGCAACACCCCAGAAGAAACAAACTCCTGGCAACTACCCAGAACACCCTAGCAACCACGTAGCAACCAGCTAGAACACCTTAGTAACCTCCTGGCAACCACACAGCCACACTCCAGAAGAAACAACCTCTTGGCAACCACCCAGAACACCCTAGCAACCAGCCATGAAACACAAAATAAAAGCAGCCTTACAAATAAATTAGTAGCTATGGCCATGAAAAATGTTGCAAAATCATTGTTTTGCGGTTTCATTTATATTTTGCAATTCTTTATTTATTTTTTGCAAAACTTTTTTTTTCACAATACTTCATTTATATTTTGCAATTCTTTATTTTTGTTTGCAAAAAGCACATTTATTTTTTTAATACTTTCATTTTCGTTTGCAAAACTTTTTCTTTTGCAAATATATGTGGCATTGAATTAACTCCATAGTAAAACCTCTGTAAAATCTCTTTAGTCTTCAGACTAAGTTGCTTATGTGTGTAGGAATATTTATTCATATAAATATCATCTCTGTTTGATCAGACACTTAATCCAGTTAGTATCCACCTAAAACATTAACTATATGAATTAGTATTATATTGCATGGCTCTCTGGAATACTTTTGTATATAATTACACTAAACTGTATAAGTGATTGTTAACCAGGCAATTGATTGATGTCATAAGATTCTGTGTAATAAGTGGGTACATGCAGCTTGACATGAGGGTTTATTTTATGATAATGAGCATTAAAGCTCATGCATTAGAACTGCAGTCCTTCACACAGCTCATCACGCATTACATGACATTTATTTTACTCTTGTTCCTGTTGCATGAGATGTTGTTTTGTCTTTCTCTTAGTGCTTCGTTTTATTCATCATTCAGTCTTTCTTTTTTTTTCAGTTTACATTGTTGTAATCTCATATTTCTCAGCAGTGAGTAAATGCATGTAGCTGCGCTGGTTTCTAGGATACCGGGGAAAAAGAGATGGCGAGATACAGAGAGAGAGAGATGAGCTTCACTGCAGTCAGATACTAGTGACTGGCAATCATCATGACATACAGATCAAAAATACTTGATGATATATGTAAATAAGTAATACATAAAAACATTTAAATGTTAATTTAAATATATACATAATATATACATCATATGCAATATCTTGTTTATTTTAATATATTTATATTTAATATTTAATTAAATATTTTTTTAATAATTTACATATAAAACAGTATATATTGTGTATATATAATGTTTGTGATATAAAATGAAAATATATAATATAAATATATATTTTAAATTATATAGTGCATATAAGTATTTTATATATATTTTATCTATAATATAAAATATGTGAGATATTATGAAATATGCGATATGGCTGGGGTCAGAATATATAGATGATGTGTGTCGGATTATGGTGGTTTTTAAGGTTCAAATTAGAGTCAATTCCAGCAGTTAATTACAAATCAGACTGACCAAATAATGAAGTTTATGAAACGTTAAAATTACGAATTAATTAACATTAATATATTCGTATTAATCCGCAAGTTACTTTCCCTGTCTTGCTCAATTTTACATTCATTCTCCTCCAGCTGTTTGTATCTCTCACAGGTTTTTTCTTGCTTTAGCTGGACTCTCCTGAGCTTCCAGACGTCTGTCAGGTGTTTTATCCTCACTATATTATAACTAACACTGTTCTCTGAGGCTGTTGCATTTATGCATCTGACGCTGACGTGATGTTGCAGGTGTTGCCAGGGTGTTGCTATGCGGTTGCTAGGTTGATTGTTATTTTATAGAAACACCTCTCACATGTTCTTCAGCGCATGCAACTCTAGTTTCAGTCTTAACATTGGGAACTTTAGAAACTTCCCGATCTCTTTTTGATTAGACTCTGAGGTAATGAGCATCGCGTGTGTCATCTATCTGTCTGTGACTCTCTGAGCCTGCTGTAAATGCAGCTTCAGAAAGGCCTCGCGGGTGCAGTGATCGCTCAGATGCTCGCTGTGAATATTTGACTGCTCTGTGACGATGTGAACAGAACATTCACCCCACGAGCTCCATTACAGACCGTTTCTGCTGAATGTTTCTGTCAGTAAATCACCTGCGGAACATGTTCTCTTTGGCTCAAACGTCATGTAAATGTAATATCCGTGCATCTAAATCCTGTGCAAAAATGACTGTGGCTGTACTATGGTACAGTGATGCTATCAAATTGTTTTTTAACATTTTACAAATGTACGTGTACCGTCGAAATGGTTCCATGGTACTGTGATGGTGTCTGATAAAAACATGGTAAATAGGCCTACAATGAGCTGCAGTGACATTTTAGATGGTTGCCATCCACCTTATTTTAAAATGCGAAAATAAGCTATTACTCTAAAAAATGCTGGGTTAAATATAACCCAGCGCTGGGTTAAAAAGGGACAAACCCAGCTATTGTGTTGTTTTGACCGAGCTATTGTGTTGTTTTGACCCAGCGGTTGGGTTGTTTTGACCCAGCGGTCGGGTTGTTTTGACCCAGCTGTTGGGTTAAAAACAACCCAATAGCTGGGTTTGTCCCTTTTTAACCCAGCGCTGGGTTATATTTAACCCAGCATTTTTTAGAGTGTAAACTATAAATAACTAGAATAACAAAGTGCAGTAAACTCTAAAACTCTTTGCACTACAATCGTAATTATGGACGTAATTATATAATACAAGTCAGACACTGAAGTGAGCTGCTGTTTTTGTCTCTTCTGAGGAAGATTCATTCACTTGTTTTGTACACAGAGACATTCTGGTCAGATTTATTAATGTTCATCTGATCTCATTTTGTAAGTGACTTTTCTTTCTGTTTTAAACATGTTTTCTTTGGATTGTTTGAGTAAGCGAAAGAGAATATAAGAAAATATAACAAGTAATTTGTGTTTCCTGCTAGCTAAATTTCTCATGCATAAAAATCTGGCTCTAAATCTCTCTTTTCTTTATTCAGAGTTGATCTAGACGAGTACATGGAAACTATCTGAACTTCTGTTCATCCTGAAGCAATGAAACCTGCTTCCTTGTATTCATCCTGTGTGTCCTCTTAAAGTGAAAGAAAACAAAACATGGTTACTATAGTAAAACCAGGGTAACCATAAATTAACCATGGTTTTGCTACACTAACCATAGTACAACCATGGTATTTGTAGTAAAACTGTGGTTATACAAAAACATGGTTACTACACTTTTACTATAGTTAAACCACGGTTAATTTTCTTAAGGAATTTTGTATTTGTGTATACTTTATTTTTTTTGTTTTGTTTTTTGTTTTAATAAATGTACTGCCTTAATGGCTTGATATTTTGTAATGTAGAAAGAAAGAAAAAGAAAGAAAGATTCGCGAACCCCCTGTGTCCTGATCTAAATCAAATGATTCGCGATTCTAT